GCGCCAAGCGAGTAGCCGAGAGCTGGGCCTTCGAGCAGGTGACCGAGAGGGGCGGGGGAGGGACGCACCCCCAACCCCCTTTCCGGTAGTCCCCTCCCCGCTGCCCAGCCCCCAGCCTCGGTACCTGCCCTGGTCCGAGAGAAATCGAGATCCTAACCCTGCCCCGAGGCACCCGCTTATCTTCCCATTTCACTCCTTCAGACCTCATGACCCACTCTCATCCCTTCCCCGCCAGCCCTGCCCTCCAGCCCACAAGACCCAGGGATGCCCCCAGCGCCCTAGATCCCAACTCTTGACACTTCCTTCTCCTCCCCATGGTCCTCTCACAGCCCCTTTCTTCCCATCTCATCCTCACCCCCCATTAGAGCACCCCATTCAATCCTCCTCTCTAGCTCCTACAAGTTGCCCCCATTGGGGACACCCAGAGCACAGCCCTAAAGACCCACAATCCCCTGGTCCGGATCTCTGCCCGGTACCCCCAGTAGAGGACTCCCATTTCTGCAGATCTCGGCCTGAGACACCCCTTTATGCTCCTCCAGGTCCTGTCCCCCTTCCCACGGCCAGTTTTTCTGGGATCACTTCCCACCTGGGGCTGCCCAGCCTCTCCTGATGGGCTCAGGGATTTCCCAAGTCCCCCTACTACTCACCCTTCTCTCTGCCCCCCACCTCCATCCCAGTCCTTCCGGAGGTCGGCAGCAGTGCTGGTCTTGGTCTGCGTTGTGATGATACCTGAACAGGTGCACCTGGAACCCCGCCTCTATGGCTTCTGGGATTCTGACAGGATGCCCAGGGCTGGAGCCCTGGTGTCCCCTTTTCCAGCCTCCGTGTGGGTGCCCCCAGAGCTGGAGATGTGGCCCAGACCTGGCCAAACCTGATGAGCTCCCACGGGTTCTGCCTGGCTTTGAGAGGCCATTCTTTGCCCGGGCCTCTCCCGAGTTAGGAAGCCTGCTGGGACTGACGGGCCCGGGCCGAGTGTGGATGGAGCGTGCTCTGATTCATGGCCTGGAAAATCCCTCCTTAGTCATCTACCGACTGTCCCTGAGGCCTGGGCCAGTCACTGGCCCTCCCACTTCCTCCCCGAAACCCAGATTTGGGGGCTCTGGAGGGCCCCTGCCCCTTCATTGTGCGTGAGATGCCCAGAATAATCTTAAAACCATATCTGGGACTCCGTGTACCTGCCCTGGCCAGGCTGGGCACTAGGAAAGCTCTTGCCCCATAGAAGCTCATAGAATCTTCTGCAACCCGTTGGGAGTTGTGGTTTTCCTTCCCACTCGGAGGAAACTGGGGCACAGAGAGGTTGAGAAACTTGCCCAAGGTCACCCAGCCAGTGAGTAGCAAGCCTGGATTGGAACACAGGCTCGTCCAGCTCGGTTCATTGCCCAGAGCCCATGGGGGTGGCTAGGACACCCCTCCCTTCCTGGGGGCCCTGGGAGCTGGGAACAGAGTCTGTGTTGGGAGTCGGAGCTCACCAGCTCTGGGACACTGAACAAGTGAATTCACTCATGTCTGAGCCTGAGATTCCTGGGGCCCAGGCTGTAAATGTGATTAGTATTATCGGGATTTTGCTGTGAAAATTAAGGGAAATGGCATACATAGAGCATTTAGCATAGCATAGGCTGAGAAAATATGGCCCTGGTCACTATTCTTATAACTTTTATCTCTCTTTCTCCTGCCCTCTCAGGAGGCAGGACTGTCTTACATCAGGACCCTGGGACCTGATACCCAGGAGGAAAGTGGCAGAAAGTTCTAGAACATCAACTATGGGCCAGGGGTTATTATTAAGCACTTTATGTAGATGGATGCATATTTAATCCTCACGATACCCAAGAGGCCAATGCTGTGAATATCCCCATCACACTTGTGAAACCTGAAGCTCAGAGAGGCAAAGGGACTTGCCCAGGGTCATACAGCTTATAAGTGGCAAAGCCAGGATGCCAGCTGAGGTCTCTAACCCCCCCCCCCCCCCCCCCCCCCCCCCCCCGGCCCTTCCTTCAGGTCGAGGAGCGCTTCTCCCGGGTGCCGGAGCCGGTCCAAAAGCGCATTGTGTTCTGGTCGTTTCCACGCAGCGAACGGGAGATATGTATGTACTCATCCCTGGGCTACCAGCCTCCAGAGGGCGAGCACGACACCCGGGTGCCCTTCACCCGTGGGCTGCACCTGCTGCAGAGTGGGGCCGTAGACCGCGTGCTCCAAGTGGGTAAGCGCCCTTCCCGCGAGGCCTGGGCCAGGGGGAGGGTCCGGATCTCTGGGGAAGGTCGGAGGAAATACTGTGAATAAAGAGCAGGAATCTGCCGAGACCTCAGGCAGCGGGCTTAGCTGAAGGGCCTGGAGGAAGGGTGTTGCGGCAGCTCAGTCAGCTTAGTTGGAGGGTGGGAAAGAGTTGCCGAGATTGGGGGGAGGGCAGGAGAATCTAAGCGGGAAATGAGGGGAGGTTCCATGCCTCAGGCAGAGAGACCCGAGACCCAGGGGTGTGTTAGGCCTGAGGTCTAATAGAGCCAGAGGCAAGAATGGTACGAGGCCTCAGGCAGAGAACTCAGGTGGAGGTTGGGATCCTACCTAAGGCAACAAGGCTTAGGTGGAAGTCTGCCTAGAAGTTTAGGATCCACTGTGAGGGGTGGTCTTACACCTCAGGTATGAGGGTCCAGTGAAGGGGAGGGAGCAGAGGTTTAGAGTCACAGGTGAAAGATGATTCTAGACCTCAGGCAGCAGAGCTCAGAAGGGAACCAGTTAGAGCCAGAAAACAGGTGAGTCCTGGAACACATGGGGGCGGTCACGTCTCCCAGCTGGAGGCATGGGCCTGGCCAAGATGACCCTCCCTAAACCCTGGCCCCCTTGTCTGGACATGGCCCCGCTGGCCACAGGCTCGGCCAACTCCGGCGGTATGAGGAAGCTGCCGTTTCCCCACATGACGCAGCCGGGGCCGGCTGGGGCCTGAGCTGCCCAACCAGTCTGATGAGCCTGGCATCTGGGCTCCCCAGGGGCCAGGGAGGGGCAGGGGGTGATGGGGTGACCGGGCCTGCCACATCTGCCCCTCACCCCCAAGTGTCACAGGCCTTTGGCATCTTCCCAGGAAGTTACATGGCATCTAGACCCCCGCCTGTATCCGTGGTAGCCTAAGAACTGAGAAAACCATCTTTAATATCATCCCTATAGTCACATGTACACGTGCGTTTATTTAGGACTTACTGGATGCCAACAGTGTTCTTCTAAGCCCTTGCTAACTATTAACTCATTTACTTCTCATTACAACTATATGGAGGAGGATGTTGCTGTTTATTCTCATTTGACAGGCGAGGAAACAGGCACAGAGAGGTTAAGTGACTTGCTCTGGGTTACTGAGCCGCATTTGCACTCAGGTCTTGCTGTGCGTAGTGGAGGAGCATCCCCGGCCTCTGGGGTGACACGGTGGTGATGGTTGGGTGTTTGTCTTAGGGTTCCACCTGAGCGGGAACATCCGGGAGCCCGGAGGCCCCGGAGAGCCCGAGCACCTCTACCACGTCTCCATCAGCTTTGACCGCTGTAAGATCACGTCTGTGAGCTGTGGCTGCGACAATCGTGACCTCTTCTACTGCGCCCACGTGGTGGCCCTGTCCCTGTACCGCATCCGGCATGCCCATCAGGTGGAGCTGCGGCTCCCCATCTCCGAGACGCTCTCCCAGATGAACCGGGACCAGCTGCAGAAGTTCGTGCAGTATCTCATCAGCGCCCACCACACTGAGGTGCTGCCCACTGCCCAGCGCTTGGCCGACGAGATCCTCCTCCTGGGCTCCGAGATCAACCTGGTGCATGGTAAGGGCACCTTGCAGTCTGATCAGGACGGTGAGGCTTCAGCTCACAGCCACCTCGCTTGCCGGGTGGCAGACATTTGCCACAGAATCCTCAGGTCCCCTTGACCCATGAGCAGGTGTGGAGGGAGTACCACTGCCCGAGGTCAAGGCCACACATCTATTAGGAGGGAGATTCTGGATTCGATGTGGCCTTGGTCAGATGAATGGCTGAAATCAGCCAATTCAGAGAATGAGAGTTGAGGGAACAAATGGGAGGTCAGGCCCCAGGGTGAGGATGTCCCAGATCACAGGTGCAGGCCTGAGTGTGGGTGGGTGAAGGACATGAAGGGTATGTCGGTGTCAGGTGTGGGTGCTGGTGGGAGACAGACAAGGAGGTGTCATGAGCTCTGGAAGGGTTTGGGGCTACAAGGGACTGTGTTGTCTAACCATAACGGTGGGGAGAATGGAGCAGGATAAATGGTAGATAGACGGATGATAAGTAGGTGGAGACAGGGAGGGATACTTGAGGGTGGGGGTGGGTGGATGCAGAAGTTGTTCATGATGAGCTGATGGTGTGGAAAAGCAGGTGGAGTGGGTGAGTGGATAGGTGATTAACTAGGATGGTAGGTGAATGGGGAATTGGTGACAATTGGAGGTGGGGTGGGGTGGGATGGGCTTTGCTTGAGGGGGTTAAGGTACACGGACGGTGGTGGACAGATAGGCTTGGTGGAATATTGGAAGGACCAATGGGTGCATGGATTGGGGTCAGTTAATGGATGTATGGAAGGAATGTTCATATGTGTGGACTGATGTGGATGGATCAAGTAGGTGTAGGACAGATGGGTGGAATAATGGGGTGGTGGTTGTTTTGGGAGATACACATGAATGGATGGTTTGATGGAAGAAGAATAGATAGAAGGTTGGGGTTCATTGGATGGGTGGATAGTGCGGTTGTGTGG